ATGTGTATGGGTATATAGTCTACATGTAGGTAGGTGCACTGGTGTTGTGCAATGCCCACAAAGGTCAGAAGAGGTTGCTAGATCCCCTGGAACTGGAGTTAAGGACAGTTGTTAGCTGCCATGTGGGTGCTGGGAATCGAAGCCAGGTCTTCTGCAAGAACAACCAATGCTCTTAACCGCTAAGCCATCTCTCCAGCCCCCGGTTCCCTATTAAGGACTTTCCTCAATCAGTTAACTACCCAACTACAGGACTAAATCCTCTTCTCCCTCTTCCCCAGTCAAGCTTTATGTAATGCTGTTTTCACGCTTTCTCTCCCAAGAATTTAATTTTCACAATCTCACTCAGCACTCCATAGACATGAAATCTATTTGCTTTTATCTTCTCTGGCACTTAATACCTGACAGCTACATATTGCCCTGGGGTTATTTACTTGAATTCTTCAAGTTCAGGAAAGTAATTAAACTATCTTCCAGATCAAAATATTCCATTAATCTGATTTTAAAGGCAACAAATTTAAGGCCTGACCAAAATGTTCCTAAGTCAAAATTCTAAAGAAGTAGCATAAAACAGACATTAAGCATTCATATATAGCGGTCCAGAAATCCCAGATCTAATACCCGACTCAGGGCAAATAAGGAACTAATCCAAACCCCAGTTTCCTCAAATGTAAGAGACTGTTACTATCCACTTTTATATAAGGGTAAATAAAATCAGGTGTATGAATCTCATAAGAAGCAGAAATATTATTACACACAGAAATGAGTATTTTCTTTAGCTGTTGATTCTTAGCCATACTCTAATTCATCTGTGGTGGTGAGCTGTATGAAAATAAGTTCCCTCAACCCACTGAATTTTCAGTATTCATAAGACTTAGTTCATTCACATTAAAGCTTTCACTCTATTTACAGACTCACCTGACTAACTGTAACAGATCATTTCCACTTCTTGAACACACCTTTAAAGGTTAATGGACCTAAATAGCAAACGCGTGTGTCTGTGTAAAGGTTTTTGGAGGAGCAGTCTGAGTACACTCAAGAAGTGTTTCTGTTGGTAAAAGATGTGAGATAACGTATTCTAAGGTACGCTGACAATAAATGATGTCTCTTCATTTTTTTTCTGAAGGGTTATTTGAATTAGCATTCACTATCTTTTTTTCCTGGTATTTTTGAGACTGGGTCTTCCTGTAGCCCCCGTTGGCCTGGAATTTGCTATGTAGACCAGGTTGGTCTTGAACTCACAGGTATCACCTGCCTCTGCCACCCAGAGTGCTGGGATTCAAGGCGTGCACCACCACGCCCAGCTAGCATATTCACTATTTTAAAAGTAATCTTTCCCAAACTCAAGGCTAGTAGGTGACAGATACTACCCTAGACCTTAGGATACACAAATGCCCCCCTTTCTCATTCAGTTCCAAGTTGTGATATTTTGCCCCCCAATGCTTCTTCAGTTCTCCAAAATATCAGTACCGACCTTCAAAATACTAAAACATTAAAGAGAAATATTCAAATTTTTTTTCAATAAAATGAGCCTATGATTTAAATCCACAAGAGATCTTTAAAATTCTGAATGTGCAAATTTCTAAAGTTTGTACTCAAGTACAAACTTTCTGCCTTAATAAACTGTGTTCCTACCTTAAAAGACCTGAAATCGTTGGCCTTTTCTTAAACTTTTGTGACTACTACACATCTGCAAGCCTCTCACAAGTGAAAATGTAATGTCAAAATAGCTTACCTAAAAATCTCACAATCCATGACAAAGAACTACACAAGTCTAGAACCCACATCTCTGACTAGGTAGGCAGTTCTTTCTTCATTCTGGCAACATTGTTTCTTCATTCTTTAAAGGCAAGTCCAACTTTTTGACAATGACATGCCAGTCATCTACCAAGTTCATCCTTGAGAACTGCACAATTAAGTTACCAAAAAAAGAAAACCCAAACCAACCCCAACAACCAAAGCACTTTAAAAAAAAAAAAATCTCATGTCTTAAGTTTTCAATTTTATGCTGGGCCATACTACTAATAGCTATTCTGGACGGGGCTCATGTGGTGCCCAGACTGTTTTATACAAGTTAGGTCTTACATAATGCTAGTTAGCCTTGCTCTTAAATCCTGTCAATAAGTATTTGAAAATATGTAGTCACAAATCTTGGTTTTGCATCAAAACTAAATTTCTAATGAGAACTATACATGACTTTTAAAAATGATGTGTCTTCCAATACAGTGAAACCTCTATATCTAAGGCTCATGGAACACAGCAGAACAAAGGGTAGAGATAATATTAATACATCTCTCAGCTCTCACCAGCAAATCTTCCTCATACAACAGATTACAATGCACACGGCACAACTGACTAAGTTTTAGAGGACAAGAGACTGCAGAGTGTGTGTCCCTGGATAGGATTCCTATATTAATCCTTACCCACCCACAGCTCAGGGACCATTAAGGAAGGGGGTGGGAAAGGGACTGTAAGAAGCAGGGTTGGTGCATGAATACAAACAGGTTTTCAGGCCACTGGGAACTTGCTCATGAACTTGCAACAACGGTGATAGCATGTAGAAGTAGAGTAATGGGTAGCAGGCCCCAACCCTAGCTGAAGAACTATTAACAACTGATTACTGCTGGGTGAGGGAGATTAGATCTTCTTGAAGGGCAGGTGACTCTAGATAGGCTGACTAGACTCCAGTGGATGAACTGAGGGACATCTGGCTACAAAAGCCTGACCACATAGGACTTAACATATATGACAGAATGCATAACATCAAGGGGGGGGGCCTATGGAGGTATGGATGGGGGAGGGGGGGTCTAAATTTGATAAAGATCTATTATATAAAATGCCCAAAAATGCAATAAAGACATTTTTAAAAGTTAAGAAAAAAGGTGTGTCTATATACTGAAAATATAGAAAAATATTCTAAGTAGTTGGACTCAAAGTGTTATTTTAATTAATCTTTAAAATGTTTGATATTTAGTATATAGAGTACATCAGTTCCAAGGGCTTGTCAACTGGATATTTAAGGTGTATTACAAAGTCTTTAAAATAAAGTCAATGTAAATATTTTAATGATGTCCAATTAATGGAAGTCACTGTTGCTGAAGATAAACCCCACCAACGTTGTAGCTCTACATCAGTGTTTTGATTAATTCCAACCCAAAGGTACATCATTACCAAATTTGGCAATCACTGTAGTTTAGCATTAAGACACTATTACTTCTTTTACCTACGTTTATTTAAAAACAAAACAAAAACCCAGGTATGTATACCTTCCTTTACAAGAAATTATTTCAGTCAATAATTGCATAGTATTCCAAACATATTATCTACCCTAAGTATGATCATAAAAGTGCTTCCTTTAAACAAAAATTAAATTGAATCTTAATGAAATTTAGAATTCCAGCCACCTGAATGACATCAGTGAGCTGAGGATCATGCCTACCCTCACATAGTTGGGACTTGAACTGAGTACAAAGACCCATAGGGAACTCAAATAGCACCCTAATCTTCAAGAGTCTTAATTCCTTCAATCTGCAATTTTTTTGCCCTTGAGCCACAAAAATCTAAAACTTCAAAATGTCCGGAAAAATATTTCACTCTCCCTCTACCCCAAATCACAGTGAAATCTTCAGGGAAACCAGCTTTCAAAAAAATGAAGCCAGCTGGGTGAGGTGTTACACTCCTTTAATCCTAGCAATGGGGGGAAGGGGGGCAGAGGCAAGCAGAACTCTTGAGTTCAAGGCCAGCCTGGTCTACACAGCAAGTTCCAGGTCAGATGGGGCTACATGGAGACCCTGTCTCAAAAAGACCAAACAAACAAAAGTCAACACTTAAAAGATCTCTAGGCAGTAACAGAAAAACTTTAAAGTTATAGGTGGTTCTGAGTCACTGCAACAACACTATTTCCATTTCAGTAACCACTTTAATATACCAGTACATGAACTTAACAGACCATTAATTTTCCCCATGGTGCCCTTTTCTCAAATCAGAAAATTTCTTTAGATTGGACAGATCTTCAGGTGTTAAAAAAAAGTTCACACACACAAACCCCAAAGTCTGAAGCCTGTTTTAACCGAAGACTATTTGTTCTTTTTAAATGCATACAAAATTACAACTCCTAAAGCATTACACATCAAAACTTAAGTGTTAAAGAAATACAGAGCTTCTTTTTTCATAAAGGTCTTACTTATGAATACGTGGGAATTAAAGATGCAATAATCACTGCAGTTGGGGGGGGGAAACCTATGAAAATATGACATCTTGGATATGCACATAAACACGAATTTGGAACCACCAGTCCAGGTCTCCCAGGGATAATATGATAAAGCTTCACGCTCACCAGACCCATTTCAAGAAAATTCGTTTGCTTGGTGTAAAGCTCAGCAATTCACCCCACGGGCCGTGATTTTGTATATTGGGATAAGAGACTGAAATTTCGAGATCCGGCCTGCGTTTCGCTTGATTAGGGAAACTGACAGGGATGCTGGCGGGAAAACCCTAGGGCCAAGTTTCCTCCACCCTAGCTCCCCTCCGCCTTCTTCCCACCTTCCCGAACAGGAATTATGCCAAGAAAAAGTATATAATCCAATCAGTGAATGCCTCTGAAAAGTTGATCGAGGCACCCCTTCCTGATGGCGGGAAGGGAAGCAGCTGCGGCGCTGCCCCCGCAGAGGTCGGGCTAGGCCCGGGAGGACCAGCGAGTAGGCCCGGCGGCCGGTCAACCTGGAGGGCCTGGAGGGACGCCCTTCCCCACTTGGTGTTACCGGGGACGCGGCGACTGTGTCACCGGGGGTGGACAAAGGATGCGCTGAGGCCTCTGGGCCCCCGGGGACCGACCGTGGCGGACGAGGGCCTGGAAAGATGGGGGAGGGGGTGCAGGACCCTGCGGGGCCCGGAGCGGGCGCCCAGCTGCTGCAAACCCGGCGGGACGAAGGGGTGGGGTGGGGCCTGCGCCAGAGCCTGGCCGCAGAGAGCGAGATGGGGTTAGGATCGGATTTCGGCCTCACCTAAAGTCCTTGTCGCTGGATGTCATTTTTTCCAGCAAATTGGAAATGTGGTACGAGGCGCTCGCCATGTTGCCGGCCTCGATCCCGCCCGCTGGCGCTGTGGCTGCTGCGGCCCGCGGCCGGGGCTCCTCCTCGCGTTGGCGGCGGCGCCTGCTTCCAGGGTCGCAGCGCGACGCTGACTAAAGGCGCCTCGGCACGCTGGCCCCTCCCCGAGAGACGTGAGGCCCTTCCCGGGGAAGCAGAGTTACCGGGTCGGCCTAACGACGGCGCTGCTCGCTGTACGACGAGCTCATGGGAGGCGGGATGGGCAGCTAGGCCTCGCCGGGAACCCAGACACTCGGGCTCGGGGGGGTATAGCTCCCACTCGCAACGGACTCGCTCCCTAGGGCAAGAAGCCAAAGCCCGCCTCCTTCCCTGGGTGGGCGGGGAAAGCCTACGCGGGACGCAGCGGGGAGGTAGGGTCAGAGTTCATCAAGGCCTGCCCACGCGTGCAGCCCAGGCGCTGCTGAAAGGGGCGCTCCTATTGGTTGGGACCTGCGTCAGTCTTCGCGTGGACCGCCTTTAAGGAGGCGTGGCTACGAACGAAGAGGCTGTTCTCACGAGATTTTAAAGCGACGGTTAAGGGACTGGGGATGAGTGGCCAAAGTCGGAATGCTTTTGAAATAGCTTGTTTCCGTCTGTATGACATTAAGAAAAAATGTCTTACGATTTTCAAACGGTGTAGAGCTTGCGAATAATAATGATTAGAGTTAGCTTGGAGTCCAACAGGAGGTTTATAAAATGGAGCTTTCCCTCCGAATCGTACGCGTGGCCGACACCATGCCCTAACAACCACGCCACGTGAAAACCACAAGTCCCAGAATTCAAGAAGGTGAGAGGCTAAGCCGGACTGGATTGGCTGCGGGAACCTGTAGCTTCCTCATTGGCTCCGGGGAATGGAGAGACTATTGGGATTTGCAGGCAGGCAACTGCAGTTAAGCTGCATAAAACCTTACAACCAACGTGTTTTGCGTTTCTAGCTTGGATTCTAGTTTCCCTCAAAATACACCCCCTTTTCACCCTACCCTGTTGCGTTGTATTTCCAGAGCTAGGCTGCTGCGATTTGAGCAAGCGCATTGCATCGTTTAGTGTTTTGTGCCGCGACTTAGTCAGGGCTTCTGAACAATCTTTGGCTAAAGGCAGCAGAGCCTGGAAACTTATGGCTGGACATGCTTGTTTTCATTTTTTTACAGCCAGCTGCCCAATTCCAGCAAGGTCTTAATAAGACTAAATAATGTATCGTTAAAGATTATGTTCAGGGCCCACTCGTTTTTACTGAAAATGTCTTTTAAAACACTATTCCCGTGCCAGGCGTCGTGGCGCACGCCTTTAATCCCAGGACTTGGGAGGCAGAGGCAAGCGGATCTCTTGAGCTCAAGGCCAGCCTCCCTCAAGGGAGACCCTGTCTCAAAAAGACCAAGAAAAAATACACTACTCCGTAGTCGACTCATGTTCACTTGATCCTATAGCTGTGTCTGGATATCCTGTTAGATACAGCAGCCGTCAGAGATGAAATACCCAGACATTTCTGTACTATCCAAGTCTCCTTATCTGTTCAGTATTTGAGAGTTTTCACAAAAAATGTTGACAGCTAGCGATCAACACCTAAAAAAATCTCAAGGGTTTGATGTAGTTGAAATTGAAACTGGCAGACCTTTCTAATAGAAAAACGGCCCAATGAAGACTTCCAAGTGGCAACTGTATTTTAATACTCAAAACAATAAATCTTTAAAATAGCTCACTGCCTCCAAATACAAGCAAAACAACCTGAACAAATGTTACTGAGTATCTTCTAAGGAACTGTTATATTATGGTAATAGCAGTTAAAACATCAAAATGTGATTTGGACTCACAGTACCTGTCAGTTCAAGGGACTTGCTCACCAGCCTGCTGTGCTCTTAGAAAGTGTTGCAACTGTGGACTAGTAGGGGTCCACTGGGTATGCTCTTTAAGACTCCCTCCGTCCCTCCCTCCCTCCCTCCCTCCCCCCTTCTTCCCTCTCCTACTCCTTCTCCCTCTCTCTCTCCCTCTC